TGAAAAAAATGGAAGAGCAGAGAAAACCCCTCCCCCTCTCTACAAAAGAAAGAGCCAAGAGATACAGCTCAGTAATAAAGTACTTACTTACTTGTATGTGCAATAAGGCCCTAGATTTAATTTCTAGTACCACAAAAGGGTACACATGCCTTTAATTTCAGTGCTCACAAGGCAGAGCAGAAGGATCTCTGTGAATTCAAGGCCAGCCTGCCTGGTCTACATATGGAGTTCTAAGATAGCCAGAGCTACAAGGAGAGACCCTATCTCAAAACAAACAAACAACAACAACAAAACCACATTAAACAAGTCAAGATTGGGGCTAGAGATAGCTCTGTGGTTGAGATCATTACACTGGTTGCTCGTACAGAAAACCTGGGTTCAATTCCCAACATCACATGATGGTTTACAACCATCCATAACTTCATCTCCATAGTATTCACACTCTTCTTCCTTGAACACTAGGCATACTGTGTGATACACATAACATATGCAGGAAAAAAATACTATACAATAAAAATAAAAAACCTAAATGAATTTTTCCAGATAAAGAGATATCATCGCACATTATCAAGACCCAATGAAAATCAGGGGAAAACATTCCAGCTATAGAAAACTAAGAATGACTAAGGCAAGCCTGTTAAGCTTGGCAATAGTTGACAACTATTTAACCTAGCACTGACTTCACCTCTAAACATTTACTAGGTATTATCCTTAACTTTTACTTCAGTTTATACAGGCCCTACCTTGTGGAGACGTTTGACTAGTCCTTCATTATATTCTTGGCTTCCCTCAATCATGCCAGTTAGAGGGTTAGAGAACCATTCCTTGAACTCTCGATGAGACTGGAAGACATGTGGCATCAAAAAATGCATCAAAGACCACAGCTCCATGAGGCTATTCTGCAAGGGAGTTCCTGTTAGGAGCAGGCGCCTCTGGCTGCAAAAAGTGAAGGAATTAGAATGATAGTCAGGAAAATTCCAACTTTCTAAGCATCCTTAATGTAGGTAACCCAGGCAGGCAACCCTTCATGGACAAGACAACTCTCCCATGAATCTGTATATTCATCTTTACCTGTTGAAGTTGAGCAGTGACTGCCACCGTTGGGACTTGAAATTCTTGATGTTCTGAGCTTCATCCAGGATGAGATAACGCCAGTTCTTACGACGAAAAGCCTGGTGATCCTGAAGTACCAGCTTGTAAGATGTGATACACACATGGAAAGCATTGGGCTTTGTCCAGCCCTAAGAGGTCAAACAGAAAGCAGCTTATAATGAGATAAGAAAGAGAAAGAGAAAGAAAGGCAGAGAGAGAGAGAGAGAGAGAGAGAGAAAGAAAGAAAGAAAGAGAAAGAGAGAAAGAAAGACAGACAGACAGACAGACACAAAAAAGCACAAGGGGAATGGGAAGACATGTTAAAAGTACTCAAGGACAGAATCAGGTTGGAGAAATGAAACAGTACCAGCAAGAGAATGGAGCAACTAGAAAATGAGGCAAAGCAATTCAAGTGAGGAAAGGATCTAAAACAAGGACACATAAATAAGGGAAGGGACCACATGGAAGATCAAACCTGCCGCTTGAGCTTCCTTTCTTTCTGAGCTCCATAGTAAGTGAGGATTTTAAAACTGGGGCACCAACGTTTCAACTCCATCTCCCAGTTCAACATCACGCTGGTGGGTACAATGATTAAATGGGGACCCCAGTTACCTGTTCAGCAAAAGAAAAGACAAAGACTGTAAAGCTCACAGCTCTTAAATAGCACCCTGACTAGCATCATTCTGATGCTGCTTAAGACCTCAGCACCTATGTCCTTTACATAGACACTGACTAGACTCCATGAGGCTACAAAGACAGCAGTAAAAGAACAAGTATTTCACTTTCCTGTAGGTGAAATCACCACTAAACAAGCTGCCCTCACTAATTAACCATGAGGCCCCAAGAGTCTACCTTTCTCACAGGCCAAGTGAGCAAGCAAGGAGATGGTCTGGATTGTCTTCCCCAATCCCATCTCATCTGCAAGAATGCCATTCAGCTTCTTCTCATACATAGTAACCAGCCAGTCAAGGCCAATGTGTTGGTATTCTCGGAGCTGGCCCCGAAGGAGCAGTGGAATAGGTGTCTTCACCTAATAGAAAGGGAGTTATCACAAATGGTGGAAATGAGGCACATGTTAGCAGAAAACAGAAAGTTAAGATATGAGAAAGAATTGTGGCCTGTGGGTACCTGGGTAGTGGCCAAAGTATAACCCTTGGGCTGGAGACTCTCCGCTGCGGCAGCAATGTCAGTGATCTCTTTCTTGGGCCCTAGAGTGGTGGGGCCTGGGGTGGGCGGGCCACTGCCCCCATCGACCTCACTCCTTTCATCATCCCGGGCAAGTAAGTATTCTACGCCAAAGTCATCATCATCACCCTCATCTTCTTCCTGTTCTTCATCTGCTTGGCTCTGTGACTGAGCATCCTCAGACTCATCAGATTCAGATTCTTCTGACTGTGAACTCCCACTCATTTCTTCCTCTGAATGTTCATCTTCCTCATCCTCACTTCGCTCCTCAGCAGAATCTAAATCAAAACACCAAAGCTCAGTAAACTGTTCCTCTAACACCAGCCCTCTACAGTTGCCCTCTGAACCACATATTTACCTGACTGACTGCTACTATCTTCTTGAGCCACCTCTTCATCTTCTCTCGTTTCCTCTAGTTCACAGTCAGAACTATTGGCTTCAACCTCATCTTCATCTCCACTATTCCCAGAGCCTGGAGCAGAGGCATCATAGGCATAGGCTCCTGCATACTGTTGCAGCAGCTCCTCCATAGAAAGCTCACCTGATAGCGAAAAGAGAAGCAAAAACATTTGGTTCCTTTTAGAGGATGAAAAAACAGATATTTGGGGCTGGAGAGATGGCCCAGTGGTTAAGAGTACTGCTTGATCTTCCAGAGGTCCTGAGTTCAATTCCCAGCAACCACATGGTGGCTCACAACCATTTATAATGAGATCTGGTGCACTCTTATGGTATATGGAGGTGTACATGCAAACAGAGCACACATACACATAAAAATAAGTATTAAAGAAAGAAAATCAGGTATTTTAGTGGTATTGGTTTTTTTCACCTTGGCTCAAACTCCCAGGTCTATGACAGACTACAGAGTTTATTAGCATGAGCTAATAAAACCAATCATTATACCAGCCATAGTAGGGTGGTGCTCCCCCACCTTTCCTCACTGCTGGTTACTTATTATCTCTTAGTAGCACACAGACCAAATATTAATTACTCAGAAACATGTCTCTATACAAGTGGGCAATGGGTCTGGAGACATGGTTCAGGGGTAAAGAACATGGGCTGTTCTTCAAAAACTCATGAGTTCAATTCCCAGCAACCACATGATGGCTCACAACCATCTATAGTGAGAACTGGTACCCTCTTCTGGCCTGCAGGAATACATGCAGATGGAACACTGAATAATAAATTTATGCTGCTCTGTTCTGCAGATGCTCAATCTCCTTTCAAGGGTGTCTGATCTCGTAACTATAATGTTTTTTCAAGGTAGCCTGTTGCTCTCTAATCTTCTCTCAAAAGTTTCAATCCTATTCAGGTGTTTCTCTCCTTCTGAAGGCCTCATTGATTTTTTCAGACAGAGTCAGCAACCATGGGCTCTCTAGACTGAGCTCAAGCCCTCAGTCTGCAGCATTCTCACTCTCTGAACCTGCCATTATCTCCTGAGCCACTGAACCATCCTTTGAAACTTCAGGTCAAGTATTACTAATACCCTGCTACAGTGGCTCTTCCTTCAATTGAGCTCTCAGACCAATTAGTTCAAACTCCTACCATAACCACACAACTTTCTATTTATAAGTGCCTTTCATTTATAAATCTTTTTGCTGTTATACCTGAGTTACTTGAGAAACATACATAATAATCAATAACTTAGCTGGAGATAAAAATATGTGATTTATTGTCTATACACCAATTTTCTGCACAGCAAACAGCAAGCAGATTTTCAGTAAATTATCTGGTAAATGTCACCTTCTCGAGCCAATTCGCGCAGTTCCATGGCATGATCCACCTCCCCTTCTAACTGCTCCTCAGCTGCTATGGTGTCCTCTTCATCCTCTGCTACAAAAAGAGAATTAAGTTTCCACTGGTGAGCCCATAAAAGGATAGTTTCAAAACCATGGTCACACACAGTCCTGGTTAAAATCTCAGTGAAAAATAAATAAAGACATAAACATAGAAAAGGGATTAGTAGGGAAGATGGAGGGTTGACAGAGGTAGAAGATGAGAGAAACCAAAATGCATTTTATATATGCATGAAAATGTGAAAGAAAAATACAATTAATTAAATGAGAGAGAAGGGCATGGTTGGCACATGTCTTTAATCCCAGCACTTGGGAAGCAGAGATAAATGTATCTTTGTAAGCTCAAGGCCAGCCTGGTCTACACAATGAGTTCCAGGACAGTCATGGATACATAACAGACCCTGTCTCAAGAAAACAAACAAAACAAAAATGAAAATGAGAAAACAGGTCAGACCTTCATCTTCATTAGCAGTAAACTCCTCATCATCTTCATCTGGATGCCAACGCTGTTTACTACATTGTGTGATGGAGGAAGGTGGAGGGTTTACCTGTGTGGAAAAGGGTAAAAAGTGGAAAAACTTAACATTTGAGCACAAAGCTGAAAGTTGGGTGTTGTGGCAAAAGCCTTTAATCCTAGCACTGAGGAGGCAGAGGCAACTCAAGATCAGCCTGATCTACACAGTGAATTCCAGGACTGCCAGAGAGTCAAAAATCAACAGCAAGAAACAAAAAAACAACACTGGACACAGTGGTGCATGCTTTTAACCCCTGAACTTGAGGGGGGAGACTGAGGCAGGGGATCTCTCTGAGTTTGAGGCCAGACTGGTCTACAAAGTCAGTTCCAGTACAGCCAGACCTACACAGAGAAAGCCTGTCTCAAAAACCAAACAAGAAAGCTGAAAGGCACAGAGTTGAAGACCAGAAAAGTATCATTGTTCCCTTGAGTAACAGCTGCCACTGGTATAGTATCAGGGCAAGGATGTAATCAAGGATTTTCTCTCAGCACCAGCTACCAAATCCCGACCCACTGACTAAGGGAGGACCTGTGAAAAGTGCTAGAAAATAAATAAGGGGGACCAAATATGGTGGTTCACACCCTTAATCCAAGCAAGTCTAGAGATAGAGCTCTTTGTGGCCACCCTGGTCCACACAATGTGTTCCAAGCCAGCCAAGAATACATAGTGAGTCCCTCTCTCAGAAACAAAAGAGCCAAAAAAAAAAAAAAGAAGAGGGGGGGGGTTTGACACACCACAGAAATGGCTACGTAGTCACCAGCAAGCCCGATAACCAAGGCTCAATCCATGTCACAAAATTGTTCTCTGACCTCCATATGTAGACCCACACAGATACAATTCTAATATATATATTTTTTTCAGGTCAATGCAGTCTACATGAGTGCCAGGCCAGCCAGGACTACATAACAAGACCCTGCCTCAAAAACCAACAAATAAATAATTAAAAGTGATGGCTTATGAGTTAAAAACACTGTTGCCCTTCCAGAAGACCCAAGTTTAATTCCTAGCACCTTTATCAAGTGGCTCAAAACCATCTGTAACACTATGTCCAATTGATCTGAAGACTCTAACCTCTGCTGACATCTGCATTCACATTTGCATATCCAAACAGACACACAAAGCTACACATTAACTACAAATATAAGAGCACATAAAAAATTTTTTAAGTAAAAATAATAGCAATAAAAAAGAACCTTAATGTGTATACATACAGATCACTGGTTCAAAGGGTCAAAAGATTTTTTTTTAAAAGGCAAGGTCTCATTATGTACCTGTTACTGTTTTGAAATTTATTGTACAGACCAAGCTGGCCTCTGAGATCCACCTGCTGCTGCCTGCGTGCTGGGATAAAGGTATACGATACTACCCAAGCTCCAAAAGTTTAAGATGACCATCACAACTCCCCAATTTAGATCACATAACTTACATGTGTGTGTACATATATATTGGTATGTTTATGCATGCTTGTGGAAACCAGCTCATTGTCTGGTGTCTTCCTCAATTACTCTTCATTGAACTTGGAGCCCACTGATTCAGCTAGATAAGCAAGCCTTAAATATGCTCCTATCTCTGTCTCTTAATGCTGAGATTACTGGAACAGAACACTGCACATGCCTTTTTTAAGTAGGAGACAGGGATTGAACTCAAGTACTTTATACCAACTAAGCCATCTCTTCCCCTGCCCTCCCCTAGCAACTTTAAAATTACAATAAATGACCCGGGCATGGCGCACATCTGTAATCCCAGCACTCTGGGAGGAAGAGGCAGGCAGATGGATTTCTGTGAGTTCCCAGTGAGTCCAGGACAGCCAAGGCTACACAGAGAAACTTTGTCTCAAAAAATCAAAACCAAAACCAAACCAAACCAAACCAAAACTACAATAAATGCTTCTATAATATTATCAGAAACCTTGCCAGACTACAAGTTGGCTTGCAAATCATCACCTTCCATAGCAATGAAACCCCAACTGTCCTTTACCTGGATTCTCAAAACCATCGATCAACCTAAGCACAGGATTTTAGAAGCTGAAACTTTCCAGCTATTTCCCTCTGAATCTTCCTGCCTCTATCTCTTCTATATGTACCTCCAAATCCTGAGAAGATTCCTCTTCAACATTTTCTTCAGGCCCATCATGGTTATCACTGTCATGAGACGAAGGTGTCTGAGAGGGGCTAGAAGGTCCACGCAATAGCTGAGGTGGGAGGGAACGGAGCAGCTCTTCCAGTGGTAGTTCTCCCTCATGTCGAAGCAGTTCAATCTCACGCCTGTGGGTCTCTGCATCATTGCCTTCTTGCTGTTCTTCAACCTCAATGGTCTCCTCATCATCCTCTTCTTCCTCTTGGGGTTGGAAGTCCCCATCTATAGCAGGAGAACAAGGTCACAAAGTCCACGGGCCCTGCAAGCCACAGGGTGGGTTTTTCAGCTCTGGAAAGGGCACTTGGGGAAGAGTAACAGGACCAAAGAGCACACACACCTTCATCATCCAGCCGAGAAATGGGTGGTGGAGGACTGGATGCTGCTGAGGAAGAACCAAGACAAGGGGAGGAGCCAGCTTTGCTGGAAGCTAGTGGCTGGTTAAGGCTCTGAGACAGAAGGTCTGAATACTTTTCAGTCTGCCCTACAATGAAGTCCAGGTGCAGGTCCAAGGCTTTCTTACGCTTTTCTTCAAGCCGGGACTGTTGTTTGAATTGAACCACCTACCATAATCACAAAAAACATCAATCACCCTTTTATTCACTTATATACTCTTAGCCAACTATTTAGGGATACTACCTTTATGCCAGATTTGACCTGGTTATTCAGAAAGAAAAGCTAAAAATTCTTAAGGGGCTTCTAATTTACCCAGTACTTCTTAGGAAAACAAACCAAAAAAAAAAACAGTAAATGAATAAACATAAGATGGTCTAGGAGCTGGAAAACATTAGCAAATCCATCAGAAGTTGGATCTTTAAAAAAAAAAAAAAAGTAGTCAAACAGTGATGACACACACATTTAGTCTCAGTAGAAGCAGGAAGACCTCTGAATTCAAGGCCAGCCTGGTCTATGGAGGGAGACCCAGGACAGCCAGGGCTACAGAGAAAAACCCTGTCTTCAAAATCCAACATTAAATAAACAAAAACAGAGTATGTGGGATTACCAGTGTAGATCAGTAGAAACACATGGCCAGCATAAACAAAATCCTAGGATTGGTGGCAGGATCAACCATTTTTTAAGTATTAACAGGGAGAACAGCAGCAGTAGAATGTGAATGGCCAGGTATGTGAACCTACCTCAGATAAATAATATTCAAAAAAGCCTGGAAATTAAAACACAGCGACCAAAGTACAAACTTAGCAGCACAAGGCCTTGGGTTAATAAAATTAAAACCATAGACAGGCATGTGATGTACTCCTTTAACCCCAGCACTCATAAGGCAGAAGCAGGCAGATCTCTGTGAGCTGATCTACATAAAGAGTTTCAGAACAGCCAGGGCTATGTAGAGAGACCCTATCCCAAAGAAACCAAAACAAACCAAAAACTTAAAACTTGAGGGTGACAAAAATGGCTTAGTGGATACAGGCACTTGTGGCCAAGCCTGACAACTTGAAATCAACTCCCAGGAATCACAGGCTGGGAGAGAGAACCAACAACTCGTCGTCCTCTGACCTCCACACACCAGCTGTGGCTTATGTGCACATACCCATATGAATAAACCTTATTTAAACAATTTAAATTTCTTTTTAACTGGGGCTGAGTGCTACAGAGATGGCTCAGTGCTTTAGAGTAGTTACTACCCTTGCAGAGAACTGGAGTTTAATTCTCTGCACCCACATCAGGCCATTCACAACTGCCTGTAACTCCAGCTCCAGGAGATCCAACACCTCTGGCCACCAAGGTCACCAGCACACACATGCACATCACATAGCAATATACAGACATACACATAATGAAAAAGTAATGAAAATAAAAATCTTTTTAAACTGGGGGCTAGAGCGGTGGTTCAGAGGTTAAGAGCATGTATTGCTCTTCCTAAGTATAAGTTTGGTTCCCAATACTTATATGCGGTAGTTCACTGTAACTATTAATTCCACTTCCCAGAGATCTAATTTACACATAAAAGTCAATACAGGCATATACATGCATAAATAAAACCAATAAACAAATCTTTAAAAAAAGTTAACCTCCAGGCATAATATCAAACATCTTTAATCTTCAATAGTTTAGAGGTAGAGGTAGGTTGATCCTGTCAAGGGCAATCTGATCATAGGAAGTTCTAGGCTAGCCAGAGTTTGTAAACTGTCTCAAAAAAATAGCTGGAGGGTGGTGGCACATACCTTTAATCCCAGCACTTGGGAGGCAGAGGCACGAAAACCTATGAGTTCAAGGCCAACCTGGTCTACAGAATGAGTTCCAGGGAGGCCAATGCTGCACAGAGAAACCCTGTTTCAAAAAAGCCAAAACCAAAACCAAAATAAACAAACCAACTAACAAAAAAAAAAAAATACTAACAAAAGCCTAAGTATGATGGCTGAACCAGGATTTCTTTAAGATCAAGGACATCTTGAGCTACATGAATTACAGGCCAGTCTAGACCATAGTGAGAACTTGTCTCAAACACAAAAAAAGTGGAAGGAAGATGGCTCAACACCAAGCCTGAGAGCCTGAGTTAAATCCTAAGGACCCACTTGACAGAAACAGGAAACAGACTCCCACAAATTACCCTTTGACTTCCACTATGTGTAACATGGTGTGTACACCAAACCCAAACCCAAACCCACACACAAAATAAACAAATGTTAATTCTACTCCCAAACAATTCCAAACATAGGTGTTGTTTAAGAGAGCACATCCTCCAAATGTGGGAGAGTGAAGATGGTTCTGGACCAGCATAGGTTACACAGAGAAACCCTGTCTCAAAAACTAGAAAACAATCATTGCAGCCAGATATGGAAACTGAAGAAAAGGTAAGTTCAAGACCAACCACCATGCTGGTATACTCCTATAATCAAGCACTTGAGAGGAAAAATAGGTAAAAAGATCAGCCTCTGCTACACAGTGAGTATGAAGCCAACCTAGTCTATATGAGATACTTGTTTCAAAAATGAACAACAAAAATGTGCCCTTAGGGGCTGGAGAGATGACTTGGAAGTTAAGAGAACTGGCTGTTCTTCCAAAGGTCCTGAGTTCAATTCCCAGCAACCACATGTTGGCTCACAATCATCTATAGTGACATCTGATGCCCTCGTCTGGGGTGCAGGTATACATGCAGATAAGAATGCTGTATACATGATAAATCAATCTAAAAAAAAAAAAACAAACAAACAAACCCAAAAAACAAAAAACAAAACTCTGTGCCCTTAGAAGGTGGGAGGATCAGAAGTTCAAGGTTAGCCTTACTTACACAGAAAATTTGAGGACAACATGACAACATGAGCTACATGACAGCCTGTCTCAAAGGTGGAATGGTATGAAAATCTGTGAAATATAGCAATATGCCTATCTCAAACAACACAGTATGACAAATGTTTATGAGGTACTTTTTACACTACAATATGCACCATGAAC